GTGTGTGTGTGTGTGTGTGTGTGTGTGTGTGTGTGTGTGCTCGTTCAGTTTCAGGTGTGCAGCTGCCAACCTAGCTGCAGCTTTAGATTCCATTGACCTTGTAGTGTTTTGGACCACACACACACATCCACACACAATCAAGTGACAGATGGAGAGTTCACACGTAGAAAATTTGCCATGTGGTGAGTTAATCTGATTGGTTGGTCTTTAATTACTCAAATACCTAACCTCATTTGATCTTAACGCTGACCTTTGCCCAAACACGACACCCATAAATGTCATATGTGATAAAAATGATCCAAGTTCTGAATGCAGGTTGGTAATTTTTGCCAACAATATCAAAATGTTAGTGTTGTCTTCTGATTCTTACAGATAATTATGTTTATATAATGAACAATATTTTATTGTCCCATTGGGGAAATCTGTTTTCAACATTCAACCAGCAGTTTATAACCACCTTAAATGAACTCACCTCTACTGGTTTGTAGCAGTCTATTAGTGCTACCTGTAGAAAAAAAGAAGACAATTGTTCAGGGATTAGATACCTTGCATCGATGCTTTCATTACTTCCACTGCACTTGTAATTTTTCCTAGCAAGTGTGTTTGATGAGTGAAGTATAGCCTTTATTTAAAGGGATAAACTACATAAAATTAGTGATGGTTCTTAAATATCACAAACAGGTACATTTCTGCTAGAATGTCAGGAGTAAATCAATGGTAAAGTATCTGTAAGTGGAAAAAAATGCTGCATTTGCTTTCAGTAATTTTATTCATTCAGAGCACATTGTTGTTGAATGTGTTGTATGCCATTAACTGCCTGACAGCTGAGCAACAAATCCAGAATAAACTCTACCTGCAGTTTGCTGATTCTCTCCTCATCACTGCTGAACTCCAACAGTTCATCAATATCAATCTCCACCTCTGGCATCTCATCTTCCTGGAACACAAAAACACTCCATTAGAAAACAGTTAAAAATAAATAAATAAGAGAATTAGTCTAAAAAAAATAAACTTATTTTGTTTTTGCTCCTAAAATTCATTTTTTATCTCTCTTGCACTTGAAGCAACCTGATCATACAGTATATTTGCCTGTTCGTATTGGTATGTCATTGTGCCCGGGTTGGGCTGTTTAGTGGTTCAGTGGTTACAGCCTGTGTTCAGCTCGGAACCACTTCAAAAAGGTGCAGTTTCAATGTTTCGCTTTATTTCACCACAAGGTTTGTGCCATGGAAACATACAGGGAGGATCAACCATTCCCTCCCAGCTGCTGCATGATGTCTCCTCCAAATGTTTTCCTCTTCAGAAGCAGAAAAAAGGCAGCCTCTTAGAGACTTTGCATCATCAGTAGACCAGAAATAATTCCCTTCAACTACAGTCATCTGCAAACATTAACCTAAAGGTTTAATTCTGAATGAACTGCAAAGCACTGCAGAATTATAGAAAGCAAGAGTGCTGCTATCACGTGTCTCCCGTCAGACCGCCTTTCATCATCTTCCAGTTTTGACTTTGGCAGAAAATTAAAGAAAGCTCCATAAAGTAAATCAAGAGATGTTTAGACAAGTCTCAGGGAAATTGTAACTCCTGCTCCTCCATTGTTCTCCTTGTTTGGTGGCTTTTCACAATTCTTTCCCAAGAATTAAGAGGAAAACAAAATCCTGTGTTGAAGGTAAAGACAGTTTACCCAACAGCCAGATGAAAAGGGTTCTTTTTTCCCACAGTCTTGTTGAAAGTCGTCAAATGAATCACAGCAAAGAGAAAAGGCAATTATTTTCACTTTCTTTATCCCATCTTTTACCTTAATAATTGATTTTGTAAATTTCTAAATGATGGTTCCACGGTCCTATTTGTTTTAAACACAGTAGTAGTAATTAGGGGTGTCCGACATCAGATTTTTTCCCCTCAAACCAAATACGAGTACTTCAGTTTAGATACACGCCTATATCAAGTACTGATATTGAGTATTAATACCAAGTATTCACTAACTCAGAACTTAACCATGACACAATGACTTTAAAAACACATTTATTTTATACAAAACAAGGTGCCTCTCCTTCCTTACAGAGCTACACCCCTCTGACTGGATCAAATCAAATACAGAATTGAATATACAATTTCAAAATGTTAAAATAGAAAAAAAATTACTTGCATAAATTTCTTACATATAAAACTGACAAACCTTTCACTTGAAACGTAAACTGTCACATCTAATGAAGCATTGATACCAATATATCAAAACTTGTATTGGTTCTAAGTATCGGGGCATGTTGTACGAGTATTTGTAAAAATGCTGCTAATGGACCTTATACAGATACTGGTATTGATATTGGGATGCCACTATTAGTACTTCATTAAATAATCTCAATGTTTGCAACAATGTTCTGCATATAAATACAGTGACACTGCTATTGTTTTACTGTGGGGGGCTGTGTGAGGGGTCACATTGGTTTTAGACCAGTTGACTTTAATCAGAGGGACTGATCAAAAGCAGTGCTCGTTTATGAGTGCTCCTCCTTGAAGAGCATTGAATGACTCAATGCTAAACGTCTATCTGTGCCAACGGTCACCCATCAAACTGCTGAGATTTTCTTGATTTTAATAACAAACATGATTTGTTCTGTAGTTCTGTGCATGTTTGTAAGCACCTGTGAGAACATGGGTATAATTTAGCCAAGAGCATATGTTGGTATTCAAATACCAGAACAGGGATGGTATTAGCTCAGAGCATTAAAAAATTTGCATGAGTGGGCCGACGTGCACATACTAAAACTGGTTCACAAATAAACCTTTTAAATAACAATGCAAAGCATAAATTTCTACAGGCTAATGCTGCACAGGATAGAATTTCTACCTGGCATGTTGCTACAATGTAAACACACAAATCAACAGAATTATACTGGTTATATACTTCTGGGATATATGTTGTGACCTACATTTATAAGTAATTTCACATAAAAAAAAATCTGGCTTGCACAACCTTATTAACATTCATGCATACACAAAGACAGACCACCTTTATCCTTATTCCTTATGAGACATTGACAAAATCTGCATTTCAACGCCAAAGTCGACCCCCTTCCCACTGAAATCTCTTTCTTCATTTCTGAAATCCCCCCTTGTTTGGAAAACTAAAGCAAGCAGCCAAAGAGGGAGGATGTGGTGAAAGAGATGGATAAGCATGGCAGTGTTTTGGTGAAATTATATAAACACAATGTTCTATTTCAAAGTGAGTAAAAGAGACAAAATAATGACAATAAGAACAGGAAGCAAGTCAGGTAAAGGTACATTTTGCCAGACTGTGATGCTGTTTGCAAACATCTAAACTGGTCGGCCAGGGACAAGTTGGCAACCAGAGTTGTTTGAAACAATCAAATGCTGCGATTTATGCGGACTAATCCACATAGTTACTTCCTGGAGGGTTTGAGGGCAAACTGGAGCTAAGCTATCAATCAATCACTTGGTGTGTGTGTGTGTGCGTGTGCGTGTGTGTGTGTTTCTGCCTCACTTGTCAGTACGCCATCTGTCACCTTCCACACTGTGATCAGCGATAACTGCAAACATGGCCGATGTGTGAAGCATGACTGTAGGCAAACCCCCAGCTCGCTGAAACGCTGCTTTGTGCAGACGAGTTGTCAGTACTCTCCATCGAGAAACTTCTTTTACGCAGGTAGGTTACGACAAAATGATTAAGTACGCTTTCACACAAAGCAAGCAGGCATTTACTTGTGCTGGTGGAGAGTGAACACCTAAAATCAGTGGTGGCCACCACTGGGCAGCACTAATCTAAATATTAGATTCACTGACCATAAAGCACTAACTCAAATATTTAGGACCCCTAATTCTAAAGCACTAACATACTGAAAATATTATCAAAAGTTAATTCTAAAGCACTAATATAATCCAGTTGACACATGGAATCTTTCAGTCAACATGAGACAATATTTACTGTGTGCAGATTTTTGTCACTTAGTTCTTGGCGGGCCAAATGGGAGTCACCCGCAGGCCACATTTGGCACGTGGGCCTTGAGTTTGACACAAGTGTCCTTGTAGATAAGTGACACGCATATGAACAAAATGTATGACAGCTTTCATCCTCAACTGTGAACAATAATGTTGATCATTATTTAAAGAACTCATTTAGTGCTTCTAATTTGAGCCCATAAATTTAGCAAGTGCTAATCCACTAATGAATTTAAAAAATAGCAAAAGCCCTAAAGCACTAATCAGGAAATCGGTTCTCTTATTAATGTTTTAGTGATTTAGGGGAACTGTGCCCACCAATGGTGGCCACTAACAGCTAACAGCTAATGGACGAAGCTAACTTTTTGTTTAGCAGATTAATGCTAACTTTTATTACTGTGACAGTCACCTTTGTCCACTCAAATTGTAAAATGGTCAGAAAGGGGGGTTTTGGGCTGAGAAAATTTCCCAAAGCATTTTGAGAGATGTGGTTACTCAGTTTATGTGGTTTTATCCTGGTGTATAATGATTTATACAACTCCAATTACAGCTCTTGAGTTAGCGGTTATCAAGTAGTGTTAGCTTCCATTAATTTTCCTAATTGTTTTGTGGTTTAGCATTTGTGTAGCTATTTTTTTTAGTTAATTAGATTGGTAGTTAGTGAAGCAAATTTTGTTGGTTAACTGAACCCACCACTGCCTAAAGTAGTTTAATTTATTCAGCCTGGAAGCAATAAACCAACGTGCACACCTGTATTAGTTCCACATGAATAAAAGGCAACATTTTTTATGGACATGGGATAATATAAAGAGAGGAAAAATGATGAAAGACTTGGTGTGTGACTTATATAAAGAAGACCGTATGGAAAAAAGAAACAAGGAGCAAGTGTTTGTTGTGCTGAAGGCAACTTTGTGAAGAAAAACAAAAACAGGGACTGACAGCATGTGTGTTGGTTGTGCGTGTGGAGAGTACATGTTTGTCAGACTTGTTTCTCCCCAACGTCTCATCGACACCTTCAGTCTGGTTCTTATGTTCTGAGGTGAATTAAATTTACCGTAAGTGACTCAACACAAGCTCTATTCACGCAGTCTCAAAAAACAAACCCGTCACTTCACCTGTCTCAGTGAGTCATGCTCATTTCTATTCATAGCACTCTTAAATGAACCAGAACTACCCGTTTTTGTTTTTAAATAACAGGTAGCACTTCCAGAGGCGATAATTGCCTTGCTGCTAATGCTGTTGCATGAAATACACGTTGTTCAAGCCAACAAAAATAAATCTGATATGAAGGAAGGATGATCCAAAACAGCAGCGGAGAAATGACACAACTTTCTGACAAGTGGTACTGAATGGTACTGAATGGTACAAGTGAATGCTGCAACTGAGAAATTAAAAAAATAGTTGCCATATTGTCCTCGTGTTTGTGTTGGATAATTTTGAAAAGTCAATCAGTTGCTGACGTGCGTTCGTAAATTATTCTCTACAAATTTATTTGAAGTTTGTCTAGTGGACTCTCTGGTAGGGTTTTGTGGGAGATCTGCAGACAAATCGGTGCAGCTTCCGCAGCATTGTGTAGTCTGTGCCAGTCTGTTGTGGTAAAGAGGGAGCTGAGCTGCAAGGTGAAGCTCTCTGTTTACTCATCGGTCTACGTTTAGCGCTTCCTCCAGAGTTTTATAGGCCTGGCAGGCTGTCAGGCTTTACTTGCCCCCCTGCCACAGGCTAAATGTCCCAATGGAACCACCCACCCTCCCTATCAAATCCCAAGCACCAATGAAAGTTCTGTTACTTCCAAACGGGGAGCGAAAATTAGACCCAGCATCAATCAATGTAGTGCTCTGCTACCATCACTGACGGTCAGAATGAGTTTTCTCCACAGAGCAGCTGGACTCGCCATTAGAGAGAGGCTGAGATATTCAGTTCCCCAGGAGAGACTTGGTGTAGAGCCACTGCTTCACCACATCAAGAAGTACCAGCTGAGGA